TTGAAGTGAGATAATCATGAGTTCCCCTTCTTATGGTAAGGGCAGAAGAGTAGCAGAGTATAAGGTCTTACAGCAATTAATAGTATTATGAGAGGGAGAGGGCAACAGAGGTTAATTGGCTCACTTAAGTTCCCTGTGCTCCCAGTCAGTAAAGTCTGCATGGGGAGCCATTTGGTCAAGCAGGGAGCCTAGCATAAATTCAGCAGAAGCATAGTATTGACCCAGTTTGCATTGGCAATGCCCTGAGACAAGGAATACCAGCCTTTACAACTGATCGAGGGTGAGGCTACAATAGCGATAGGATTGTAATGGTTCCCATGAAGTTGAGTTCAAACCCCAGGTTTGCCAAGAACATTCAAATAGACAAAAGGGTTTTTTGTTGTTAGGGAAGCAGACGCTGAAAAGCCTTCTATGGATTATAGAAGACTTGTTTAATATGTGGGCTCTTAAAAGAGTGGTTCTTACCAAAGATTTAGCATTTTGTAGAAAGGTATAACAATCTCAAAAGAATTTGCACCCACTGTCTGAACTATTCAGTTAGATCTCTAGACATCACCTCAATTGTAGTTTTTTGAGGAGTCTAGGGTAAGTTTGAATAGTTTCTAACCTGTCCTGAGTAAATGTTTTTCCCTCCTTAAATAGGTCATGCCTCAAATTATGGACTACATTTTGGCAAAATTGTAATTTGTCTTTTTTGAAATTCTATTTCCCTTTTCTGCTAAAGCCTAAGAATAAGTAAGTGGAATCTTTCTTATAGACTTCTCTGAACAAGGTAGGAAATTATCCACATCATATATCAAAACTGAATCCCAAGGGAAATTTGGAGCCTTTAAATATTTTTGTTATCCTCACCCAAGGACATTTTCCCCGTTAATTTTTAGAGAGACTGGAAGGGAGGGGGAGAAACAGAGAGAAACATCTTTTGCATCCATTGGTTGCCTTCTGCACACACCTCGTCCAGGCCAGGGATTGAGCCTGCAGCCAAGATAAGAGCCCTTGACCATAATTGAACCTGAGACCATTCAGTCCATAGGGCCAATGCTCTAACCACTGAGCAAGCTGGGTAGGGCTGGATGCTTTCATTCTTGATTAAGGACCTCGGAAAACAGGAGGGGCTTCAGTGAACCTTTTGGGCCTAACTGTCCATATAGAGTATTACCCTTTCCAATGAGGCAAAAAGATGTTGATTTTTTGCTGAAACCGGTTTGGCTCAATGGATAGAGCGTTGGCTTGGGGACTGAAGGGACCCGGGTTCGATTCCGGTCAAGGGCATGTACCTTGGTTGCGGGCATATCCCCGGTGGGGGGTGTGCAGGAGGCAGCTGATCGATCACTCTCTCATCGATGTTTCTGACTCTCTATCTCTCTCCCTTTTTCTCTGTACAAAATCAATAAAATATATTAAAAAAAAAAAAAGATGTTGATTTTTTCTGGTGTAGGGGCACACAGAGGAAGGCAGAGCCACAATCCACTACAGGGAAGCAGGTGGTTTGGGGAAGAACTGTTAGGGGGATAGTATTTAGTATTAGATTCTAATGGAAAGGGGGGGAAAGAATTGCATTGATATCCCTGAGATCTTGAACAAATCAATATTCTTGTCCATTTGGTTTCTTTGCTGGCAGGGCAGGAATGTTACCAGTGTTAGGGCAGGTTATAAACAGGCCTTGAGCTATAAGGCCCTTTTCTATAGAGCTGAGGCTTTTCTTTAGCATCGAGCATTGGGGAAGTTTGGCTAACAGTTTGGTAGACTCTACCTGAACTTTAACAGATTCCACTCCAATTATTTTCCCTCGGCCAAGGGGAATATTAGCCTATAGAGAGTCAGGTACAGTGTTAAGATCTTCATCTGGAGTATACATCAAGTACAGTAGAGAAGGAAGTGTTTCTACAGAAACAGACACATGGATAACAAATACTGTACACAGTTTTTCTGAAACCCCAAGAAATTGTCCCTCTGGTGTGTATTTCATATTACAGTTCCATTTGCACAGTAGTAGTGGGGGAAAGGGAGTGTTTTAGAAATGCTCTGATTAGGTCTTGGTGGCATGGGAAGCAGGAAGCCCACTAACCAGAAGCAGAGTGTGTATGGTTTGGGGAGCATACTGATTGATCTTGAGTTGGAAGCAGGAGCAAAAACTGGGGAAGTTGGCAGTCACTGCCCAAGTACTAAATAGTCCTGTTTGGGTTTATTTCCTGAAAATGTTGTAGGTCAAAGGTCTATTGTTGTATATAGTCTGGCTGTTCTCTGTTTGTATTTACAGTCTCTCAGTGGGAGCTTTGCATTGTAGGTATTTTTAAAACCCTGCTGATGGTTCAGATTTTGCTCTTCAGGTATTGAACTAGGAGTGCAACAACAATATTTAGTTGTGTAACTATTTTAAACAGTCCAATACACTTTCAAGTACATCCTTTCCCTATTTTATCCTTACAGCAATCTTGAAATCCTGGGAGGTTAATTACCTAAGTCATTCAATGGATTTGGGCTGGAATTAGGATTATATCATAGTACTAGAGGCCTGATGCACAAAATTCATACAAGAGTAGCTCTTTCTTCCCCTGGCTGCTGGCAGGCATCCGGGACCTAGACTTCCCTTGCTGCCCTGGCTTCGTCCAGAAGGACATCTAGTCTAATTAGCATATTATGCTTTTATTATAGACTAGAGGCCAGGTGCATGAAATTCACGCATGGGTACAGTCCCTAGGCCTGGCCTGCAATCAGGGCCATCTTCCCCAGCTGCTGGCAGCAGGCCCCACCCCCTACTACCACCCACCCCCTTTTCCCTGTTTGCCTGATGGCTGGGGAAATGGACCAAGAGGTGGTTCTGTGCTATGATAATCAAGTCCAGTTGTTTCTAATTGCATTGCTTAAAGGTAGGATAAAGCCTTGAGGGCCACAGCTCTCTTCAACTACCTACAAGGCTGTCGTGTGGAATAAGGATTAGGTTTATTCTTACAGCTCCAGAGGGCAGAGCTCGTACCTGTAAGTGGAAAAGAGGCAAATTTCAATTAGAATGTGAAAATATCTTTCTAATGAGACATTTGCCCCAAAATAAAGGATTGCCTTGTGAAAGAGCCCATTCCTTCTCTCTCCCAATGTTGATTAAGACTCCATAATACTACAGCTCTATTGAGTGCTTGAACTGGCTAGGCAAGCTGACCTTAAAGGGTTTCATAAATTTCAATAATTAAATGTTAAATTCTAAAAAGAGACATAGACATTTTAAATACAACAGTTTTTAAGTCATTCAAATTCAAAATGAAGTTATGTTATGATTTTTAAAAGCAGTGAGCTATGTTTTAAACTTTAACCTCTGGACTATTCTTCATTGATTTAGTATTTTGGTCCTTATGGCACACATTTTCAAGAACATTTTTTTAAAGTAAAATATTGGCCCTAACCAGTTTGGCTCAGTGGATAGAGCATCGGCCTGCAGACGGAAAGGTCCCAGGTTCCATTCCTTTTAAGGGCATGTACCTTGATTGTGGGCACATCCTCAGTAGAGAGTGTGCAGGAGGCAGCTGATGTTTCTCACTGATGTTTCTAACTTTCTATCCCTTTCCATTCTTATCTGAAAAAAAAAATCAATAAAATATATTTTTTAAAAACAAAAACAAAAAAGTAAAAAATTGCCCTAATAAGGAGTCATCAGCATTGTTTTTTTGATTGTGCAGTTATAAAGCTTGATACCAAATGGACTGCACTTAGTTTTAATAAATTGTAGGAGTCAATGAGGTAAAACAAACAAAAAACTCCCTTTGAATGATAAATGCTAAGATTTTAATCTGGAATCTTAACTTTTTGAACAAGATCAATTCCTTCTTTGTGACTTCTTTTTTTAATGTTCCTTCAGGTTGAACCCAATTATATGCTTTTCTAGTTTGTAAATACCTTAGAGCTGAAATAAAACAATGAGTCCCCTTCTACACTTGAATGGTGACTATTTGCTGTTCTCCAAGACTTCCAAGGGATCCTGTTTTCATCACACCCTTTTTCTGGCTCTTGAACTGTTTAAATCGAACCCCTTGTTTTTTTGTCAGAAACTTTCCTTTTAATGATGGGCTGTGTGTCTCTCGCTTTTGAAAAATATACAGAATCCTAGGGACTCTTTCAGAATCTAAAAAATCATTAGTAAGTGTAAGGTAGGCAAGAGGTAGGGTGGGAAGCAATGCCTTCTGCATAAATCTAGTTACTCTGAGTCACCCTTGGCAACTTCCGGGACCAGGCATCAGGTGGTGGTAGAAATTGTCCTCTTAACCATATCTATTTTTTTAATGACTGTGCATATTTGCATACCCATATGGTTAGAGAGAAGGCGATGACGTGAGGCTCTCCTTGGAGAACAGGAGGCGATCAGGAAATAAAACAGGTACCTGGAAAGGGGTTCTGTGAGAGAAGGGAGAACGGAGCGTTAATCGCCATCCTCCGAGAGCGGCAGGAGTCCCCTGCAGGTAGCCGCCTGGCCAGGCGCCCTCGTGCACCCTCTCTGGGGACAAGCTCTGTTGCTTTCTATTTCTTTGCTTGCAGCCAGGATTGCACGCTTATTTGAAACGGATTGAGCTGCCTGCTCAGTGGCTGGTCAGGTTGACTCTTCAAGACTAGTGGATGTTTTTTTGTTTTTGTTTTTTTGAGGTTGAAGGGGAAGCGATCGGTTGAAATTCTGGTTTGGTAAGTGAGAGATTCTCAGAAATGAGGAAACGGGCCAGACACTGACTTAAGAAGCCGGGGAGCAAAAGCTGTAGCCCCCCCCTCCCGACCCCCCATCGACTTATCTCCCGGCCCCTTACCCCTGGCCGTGACCTCCCGCTGAGACCCCGGGCGGCTCCTCTACACCTGCTCGGTGCTTGCCCAGCGCGTGGCCAGTCCTGGTCGGCGGCGGGGCGAGCCGGGCATCGCTGCCGCCCGCGCCAGGCCCCGGCGGGGGGCGCTTCGGAAGGACCGGCCCCGCGCCCGCCCGGCCCCCGGGGCGGCTCCCTGCGCGGCGGGCGCGGCGCCCACTCACCATGCCCGGCTGCCGCCCGCTGCTCGCCCTGCTGTGCGCGCTGCCCTGGCTCCTGCGGGCGGCGGCCCCCGGGGACCCCGCGCTCCCCCTGGCGCGCCGCGACCCCCACGACCCGGCCCGGGGCGCCGACTTCGACCGCGTCTACAGCGGCGTGGTGAACCTGAGCACCGAGAACATCTACTCCTTCTCCTACACCAGCCAGCCCGGCCAGGTAAGGCGCCCGCTTCCTACCCTCGCTCAGCTCCCAGGAACTTGCCAGACCCGGGCGCCCGGTCGCCGCTGTGGGTCCTTTGCGCAGCGACCTCGGGAGGGAGACCGCGGGGACTGGGGGCCCCTAGCTCCCTGTCTCATTCACATCCATCACCGTCCTCCGCGACCGGCCTTGGGGACAACTCCGCTTCCTCTCCCGCCTCCCCTGGCCTGGCCGCTGGCATTTCTGAGCCTTCCAAGGAAAGCACTGGTTCTCCTCCCCATGGTCTGCGGGTCCTGCCCGCCTACCGGACCTCTCTCTCTAGGGAATCTCGATGTCTAGGGTCGCGGAGGGCAAGGGCCGCAACGCTGGTCCTAATCTCCTGCGGGGAAGGAAACTCGTTCCCGTGGGATGGTTCCGCCAGACCTTTTTCTGTCTCTTGGCGCATTGGGGTGGAAGCTGCTGCTCAGAATCTGAAACGGGAATGTGTGAGCATGGACGCAAGCTGCAGAACCCCTGTGCGTTCACAGTCACACGTCCGTGCTCCTGAGAGGCCGGCAGACCGGCGGGAGATGTTGGAACTGCAGCCGTGCTCCTGTCTATGGAGATGGTGGTTTTAAATAGAGATGGATAATTGAGGGGAAATGTTAGACCTGTCTCTGACAAGAACGGAGGGAGGCGAGGGAAATGACTTCCAGGAGCTATCCCTTTGATACATATATGCTGGTTATATAATATAAGAAAAACATAGCTTGATGTTTCCCTTTAATGGGATGCCATGATATGACTCCCTCTGTAACGCTCACTTACCCAGTAACTTGGGGTTGTAATGAGCTGACATGTCCCACTGTGTGTATTGAGCAAGTGCTCCATCTCCCCTCGGTCAATACAGCCTAAGGCGTGGTTGCCGGAGCAGCACAGCCCTCATCCTGTCCTGTCCTCCTCTGACCTTCCCCTAGTGTGTCCTGAAGTGAGCAGGCTGGCTGTGTGCAGAGCCACTCCGTTATAGACCAGTGGGAAGGGGCAGTTTTTAGTCTCCAAACCCCAGTAAGTGACCTCTTTCTGTTCAGTGTGTGGTACGGATCAGCTGACGTATCACAGATAATGTGTGTGCTCCTAGCCCTGTGATTGATTCAGAACAAATCAAAGTCTAAAAAATTCCCTGACCTCTGAGATGTACTGCCAGTATCCTCCTAAATCACTGGTAACAAAACTCAAGTAATCTGTGCAAAGTGACTCCTAACATCAGGCTTAGTGTTTCTAGCACTTCTGCTGAGAGATAGGGTGACTGCTTTCTAACTGTTGGCCTTTTTGCCATTAGTATTCTGCCAGTTCCTCTACTTCACTACAGCACAGGTGATAATGTTTGCAGTTGGGGTCACCTGATTGAAAACCATTCGATATTGAGGATAAGGGCAGAATAGTGTTCATCTCTGAACCCCAGTTCCTAGCACAGTGCTTGGCACATAAGAGGTTTACCAATGTCTTTGAAAGAAAAAAAGAAGAAGAAATAAGTGAAGAAAGATTTAAGGACTCTATAAACTGAAGCTAAATAAACTATGTAGTGCTTTACTAGGTTGAAAATATAAGATCAGCTGAAGCCGGTTTGGCTCAGTGGTAGAGCATCTGTCTGCGGACTGGAAGGTCCCAGGTTCGATTCCTGTCAGGGGCATGTACGTTGGTTGCGGGCACATCCCCAGTGGGGGGTGGGCAAGAGGCAGCTGGTCGATGTTTCTCTCTCATCGACGTTTCTAGCTCTCTATCTCTCTCCCTTCCTCTCTGTGAAAAATCAATAAAATATATTTTAAAAAAAGAAAGTATAAGATCATTTCAGATAAAAACAAAAATTTTTCCATGAAGAACAAAATTCTTAAGAATTTTTCTATGATTATGCCCTTTCCGTTTTGCCTGTGTGTTCAAGTGCCCTTTATTTTATGAAACAATGTCATTGATTAGTTTTTAAAAATATCTTTGCATAATACAATAAAAAAGTTAGTTATCCCAGCAGTCCCTAAAATTTTACTAGTCAGAAATACAGGTGGGGACCATGGGACTGACAGGTAACTCAAGTACTTTAATGCCAGTAAGCAGTAATATGAACCAGATGTTCTCACATCTTACAGCTTTCTGAGATCTCTCTCTCCAATGTCCAAGTAAGACAGTGAAACTCTCCACTTGCTTACTTTGGGAAGTGACCCTCCTCTGCCTCCAGTCTGTTGATTTTTCCAGAGATGGCATTTTTCTGACCTATTTGTCCAACCATTACTCAGTTTCTTCTGACAGCCGCCTCTCTTATTGATCCTTGCCCCATGCTGAGTACCAGCAGCCCATACCATGAATATGATGCTGTTTGGATTTAGCAGAATTTTACCGAAGATTTGGACTAACAGAAGGAAATTGCAGAACACCACAGGATAGGTGATAGATTAAATCAGAAATCTAGGCAAAGTCATAACAATTTGTCAGCTATTGCCCACGGCGAAATCTCAAGATGGGGGCACTATTTTGGGGGCCCTGGCTTATCACCATCTTTCTGGCCACTCCCCATCCCAAATGCTGACTTCCCACTCTCTACATTTTTGTTACTATCTCATATCAAACAGTTTTGCCTCCATCACCAAACCCAAACTCACCAATGGGCTCAGCTGAATAAAGGTCTATAAACCCAAAAGTATAAGCTTGGAAATGACATGTTCTTTAACCTGAGCAAGTCCCAGTGAGAGCTCCTTCCCCTGAGGGGTCATTTCCCACCTACCCCTCTCTTCAGTGCAACAAAGAATTTGGTTTAGAAAGAAAGAAGGAAAAAATAATATATATGTTTATATTAATATAAATAATATTAAAATATATAGCGTATTAATCTTTTTCCTTTTCTCTTCAAACATTGTTATATTTGCCATTGTTTCTCCTTCAGCTTGGAGGAGAAAGGCTCTTCTGAATTTAGGCTTTGGTAGAGAGAGGAAGCTACCTTGGGAGCCTTCCCTCCTAATCTTGCCTGTCAGCCTCTGCATCTTCCATACCAAACTGCTGTTCTGAAGACCTGTTTAGCCAAGTGTATGTCGTGCTAATTAGCTGAGCTCAGTACCAGGAAAAGTCTCACATGCCTTCCAGGCAGACAGTAATGTAAATAAGAAGTTGCCATTAAAAAAAAAATCACCAAAAGAACCGAGTGATTGGTTTTAAAGAAGAATAATGAAAATAATGATTGAAGACACAGGTTAGGCAAGATCCTGATTTATTTCCTTTCCCTTTTCAGAGGACTAGAGCTTCACTGTGGCACACACGGTGTTCTAAAACCACAGGGCTGGAGCAAAACCGGGAGGAAATCACCTTGCTGAGAAAGTCACCAGGGATATGATTGACTAGGACAGAGGGCACAAAAACAGGTTTTTTTGGAATTGAGAATACTTTGTACAGACAGGCGCTGGCAATAATCAGATGTTTATATTTGAGTCTTTAAATAAAAACCTACCCACTGTGCAACAAGATGGTTTTCTGAAACTTTCAGAAACAGAATTCGATGTTTGCCGTAGAATTTTTTTAATTTGAAATGTTTCCCTGGAAATAATTATTTTGTTTATTACACCGAGGCATTTGTCTTTTAATGACATATACTTTTCTATGCCAAAGGAACAATGCTGGCTTTAGTATGATCAATCATCAGTCATGTATCTAAACCAGTTATTCCAGTCTCCTGGATCCAGATTCAAAAGCCCACCCAGTTCTCATGAACAATTGTATCTTCTAGCTCTGTACGTGAATAGTTATGCAGAAGAATTTAAGACTTTTTAATATTTTTTTAACTTTTTAAAATTTCTTTATTGATTATGGTATCACATAATTGTCCTCATCCCCCCATTCCCATCCCAAACCTCTCCCCACATATGCACTAGCCTCAGTTCTCCTGGCCTCGCTGGTGCTCTCCCTGCGTTCTCAGTACTGCGGTACTGAGCTGCCTGGTGCTTGTTTGTGAGGAGAGAATCGTCCCATTAGCACATTATCTGGGTGACTGGTTACTGTCTCTGCCAGCTCAGGCTGTTAGAGCAGAATACCATGGTCTGGGTGCCTTAGAAAAAATATTTCTAACAGTTTCAGAGGCTGGGAAGTCTGAGGTCCAAGTGTCAGCAGATTAGAAATCTGGTGAGAACTGGCCCCCTGGCGTATAAACAGTGCCTTCTCTCTGTGTCTGCACCTGGCCCGCAGAGCCGAGAGAAGCAAGCTCTCTCCCTTCTCTTCTTATAAAGGCACTAATCTCATCATGAGGGCTCCAACCTCGTGATCTAATCACATTCCTAAGGCCCAATCTCCACATACTATCACACTGGGGATTAGGCTTCAAGTTATGAATGGGGATGAGGGGGGAATGCAAACCTTCAGCTTATGGAAGTCACCTCCCACTTTTTCTCTGTAGTCCTGAAAATGGAGCGTCAACTGTCATAAGGGTGTCACAGGCTGACCATGCTTCAATTATGATCTTTACGGAGCACCCATCTTCTGCCTGCCTAGATGACAACCTTGTGCTAAATTTTATAATGAATTCTGTAGGTATGTGCTGTCCAATATGGTAGCCACTATCCACATGTGGCTATGGAGCACTGGAACTGTAGCTAGTCAAAAAATGAGTTGTACTGTAAATGTATCGTACACACTAGATTTTGAAGACAGAAGGAAAAAATAACATAAAATGTATCATTAATATTTTTTTAATATATTTTATTGATTTTTTACAGAGAGGAACAGAGAGGGGTAGAGAGTTAGAAACATTGATGAGAGAGAAACATCGACCAGCTGCCTCTTTTTTTTTTTAAGTTTTTTATTTTTATTTATTTATTTATTTATTTACATATTTTATTGATTTTTTTACCCCCCTCCCTCCCTCCCACAAATCCCCTCCCTCCCCAGAGTTTTATGTCCATTGGTTGTACTTATATGCATGTATATAAGTCCTTCAGTTGATCTATTATCTCCCCCAGATCTTCCTCCCCTCCCCACTGTAATTTGACAGTCTGCCTGTTGCTTTA